TGGGAGGAGGCGGAGCAAGATTTGACAGAGGCTCCTTGTAATTATCTGTTCTCTCTCTATTCTCTTCTTCCAACAATAATTTGTTGATGGAAAAACCATCAATGATCTGAACATCTTTAATTTATTATCTAGGGCAGCAGGGGTCCATCTGATTGGCCAAATATATTGACATGCAGACCATTTAAGTCGTCTTTTGCGATACGTATATTGCACATGTTGATATCAAGATTGATGCAATGGATGCAATTAATTTTCGATATATCATGCAGCCCTACTTTCTATTGACTTTTATTAAGTTAGAGGACTCATAAGAGACAGATCAAACAAAGAATATCGAAAAATTAAAGGAGCCTGATTTGTAGATATCCAGTTCCCATAAAACCACTATAGATGTTTATAGTATTTCTATTGGATTATCGTCAGACTTGTAAAAGCACTAAAGTTCTAAAAGTGTAATTACACAACTAGTAGAATAAATAGAAAACAAAACTTACCCTGATGACCTTGTCGACCTTCAGGTCCTCAAGAGATGGATACAAAGACATTCTAAAGAGAAAACACAAACAGCAGTGAGTGGATGACCTAAACAGGAGGAGGACAGAATGGCTGAATCAGATAATAACCCTGCTATATAGGTCTCAGCATAGGCCTTAAGTTATCCATTACCTTTAAAATTCATCAAGCTCCATTAAGCTCCATCCTACATTAATGGGTTATAACAGAGACACAAAATCACTGTCTTGTTTCGATCATATAAATCTTTGAGTCCAAGACACCAAATGAATGTGAGATTAAAGCAAAGGGAAAACAAAGAATCCTATGAAGTGTTTTAAAGCTGCAACATGCAACTTCACCACTAGATGTCACTAAATTCTACATACTGTACCTTTAAGTGCAAACAGGGGCCATTTTACTGCTATTGATATTGTTTTATTGCCCAGCTCTAATAATTAAAGTATAACTTAACATGGGCAATATTTATGGATGGGTGCCTGCATAGACACTGTTAGTCTGAGTAAAGCACAGAGACAATAAGAGGGACACTTATTCTAATGTGACTTTGTGACTTCACAATGGATCACTTCACCCTGGCACCACATCTTCTTATCTAATCTTGTTCTCACACGGCTAATGGATGAGTGTGATGACTTTGAGCTTGGCTTCATTACTGCAAATGACTAACATTTGGACCAAACTGAGAAAGGAGGACAGAGGGAACACAGGCAGAAGTAGTTCAGTTACGTTGGGCAACTGGACTTCTGCGCTGTTCTCGCTCTATGTGTTGCTCAAACACAAACAACGCACACTTAAAACACAAAACCTGTGCACACGTGACAAATACAAGCCGCTGCAGATCATATATGTGTAAACATGGGTGGAGCTTTCTAAAGCATGAAAGCACCACAGCACAGGCAGTGGTTCATGGCTCTCAGGATCCCATTATGTAACAAACCATGGTGGTTTCTACATGACATTGTGAACTCCCTGTGGTCTAGCTCCAACCAAAACTAGATTCATTAGTACAGTACAGAAACTAAACAGCAGCCTGAAGAAGAAGTAAGAGATAAGTCAGTCAGCTGACTGGCCTCACTCCCACATAACAATAACACAAGCAGAGACATGCAGGGATGATCTGACAGCTAGTAAACACAAGTATGTTTGAGTCTGAAAACAGTTTGTTTGAATCCAATGACCACATTTTTCTCTGTGCCATAGTGTCTATGGTGATTTGTAACCAAAAATATATGGTACACAATCATTACATCTAGTGTTATATAAACTATGCAATGTCCCCAGCTTGACTTAAGCTAGACACCCCTTCTCTCCACGTATTTTCTGTCAGTCTCCACTGTCAATGTTTTGGTGTACAGATCCAATTAGACATAATAAAGAAGAAAAAAAAAAAGATAATAACCAAAACTGTGAAGAAGAAATGTAGAAATATTTCTGCTTTTTTGCTTGAAAATATGTACGTCAACAACTAAATTGATTATCGGCTAATTATAGCAGCTTTACTTCCACTACAGATTCCAGTACCTAAATTCAGGGCATGTTCGAATCTTATTAAAGAGCTAACTCAATACTGTATAACTTAAAGGTACAGTAAGTAGAATTTTGTGATATCTAAGTTGCATGTTGCAGCTGAAAACCCCTCACCTCACCCTGTCCTTCCAAACATGAAAAAGACCCTGTGGTAGCCTTCAGTTGTCATAAAAACTCAAATAGTGTTTAGTTTGTCCAGTCTGGACTAATGTAAAAAACATGGTGGCCTCCTTAGAGAGGGCCCCTCGTTGTAAATATAAAGTATTTATATATAAAGGGCCTTTTCTGGGTTAAAGAAAACTACAATTCATACAATTTAGATGAAACGAACTAGTGAAAACATCATGAGGATTATTCTACATTAAATTTCTGACAATAGTTCCTTAACACCTCAATCTTACACACTGGACCTTGAAAATTGAATTTAAAATTAATCACACAGCTAAGAACTCATTCTAGGGGCCACAGGGCCAAATTGAGTTGGCAATTCACGATGACTATGATCTGATAAAGAAAACACTGAATTTTATCAAGAAAGTGACAAAGAAACCATATTCAATGTTGTCATGTGGTCACAGCCAATGCATGATTCGCTTGACCTGGGAAGTATCAGCACATACACAAACCCAGTGTATTGCACTGATGAGTCGCTCAAATAGAGATAAAATGAAGGAACATAAAAAAACAGAGAGACTCCACTTCAGTTTTCTCTTTCCAGACCCTCTACTAATGGAACCGAAGCATCACAGATTTTCCTCAGTACACTGTGTCACCATCACAAGACATGTTAACACTTATCTTGCTAAAAAAAATACAGAAAAACAAAGCAAGGAAGAGAACAGTATTATATAAAAACAACAGATATGTTGAGAATCCTCCAAAAATGAATAGGTACTGACATTCAGTCACCCCCTTATATTGACTAACCTCATTGTGCATAAATCCCACTAAAAGATCATTACCAGACTGACCCATCAGAAAGTCAAATGGTTTTAGGTGTAAAAACCATCATGAAAATGCCACATACGTGGCACTGAACTCCAGATATTCTCTGGAAATTATCTAAAGGGGCTGTATGTGAGAACGCAAATCACTGAGTCAGAGGCTCCAGACTTTCTCCAGGCTCTCCTGCCAGCTCCCTTGTAAAAAACTCTGGATAATGTCTAAGCGGTCCGATGAGAAAACATAGCAGGCTATCCTCCAGAGGATTCACAGTGAGTGAGTGGGTGTATTGATGTTTCTACAAAGCGACAGAAGCAAAAATGAATGCAGTGCCATACATGTAGACAAGAGAGCTTTTGGCCACATGGTCCGATGCCTCCGTCTGCTCGACCACTGCTCTGAATGCTCCAGAGATGTCTGTGTTGTTGTCGTAGTTCATGTGTGAAAAAGTAAACTCAAGAGAAATTGTGCAGACATTATACAGAGTTCATTTCTGAAAAAAGGCTACATACCAAGTGGTAAAGATACAAAGAGGTCCGAAATCTGACACAGGACATCACTATATGAGGTCAAAAGCCCAAGTCTTCCCTGAAATAAACCACAAGCACATCTCACTCTCCAAGCTACTCCAGCCACTACTCCATTCTCAGATTGTCAGTGCTGGCAGACAAGTGCATCATTGTGTTAGTGGACACAGAGAGGCATTTCAATACCTTCTAGTGTTTAATTTTCCGCTGTGTTTGTTTGCTCAGTTTATTACCCTCACCCTTCCACCTTCACACTTGGAGGCCTGAGGTATAAGTAAATAAGCTTGGGGAAAAAATGACTGTTTGGATTTAGCTCTTGTAATGACATAATCGAATCCCTGAGTCACCTCTTCTACTGCAGCTCAGATGAGAGGGACACGTGAAATGTAAATTGTAAATACAATTCTCAGAGGAGTTTAGCTGTTGTCCTCCTTGTTCCTCTGCCTCAAGGTGTGAGGCAAAGGAAGCAAAGCAAAAAGCTTTTGGTGGATACTGGGAAGGAAAGACGGAGCTTACTTCAGCAGGCCTGAACAAATTGGTTAAATAGAAGAATGTGGTCTGCTTGGCAACTTATTCCGGTCTATTGATATGGCTGGGAAAGAGACAGAGGGAGTGGGAGGAAGAAGGAGAAGGAGGAGGACTGTCGATGTTAAAAGAAAAAACAGAAGTGACGCACACCCTTTCGTTCCTAGTGTGCACGTTAAATAGACCAGATCATATAATACGAGTTCAGAGGCTAGCATACAATTATCTCTCGTAAACAGGCTCAATGAGTTGTGGTTATGACGCTGTAACCACACAGCAACTCTATTAGCATGAGAGGCAAAACACAAGGCTGACCACACGTTAGCTTCATATGAATACATTTCTTGATGTTATTATACTGAGGGGAGGTGTATGTGTAATGCTAGGCCGGTATAACTGCCCTGTGTATGTCATATGACTGCCTTGCTAATTAACGTGAGCTAACGCTGCAGTGCCCCCACTCCACTGTCATTAAAAATGTACCACAGGCTGTTATCTGATCCGGGCAGACACACACATATTCTACCCACAGCCTAGCGAACAGATGTGTGGAATAAGCCCCCATTGAGGACATGAAGGACGGCAGAGCAGGCTGAGGGCTGCGCGTCTTTGTTCCGACACAAACAGCGGCGGAGCAGGGAGCTAACCTTAGCCTTAACGTTAGCTTGTTAGGTAAACCTGGACGCAACCGTTAGCGGCTGCTAGCCAGGCTGGGGGAGCGAGCGGTTGATGGAGACACTCACCTTTAACGTGTTGGCGGTTGAATCGGACTGAGACACGTGCGGACGGCTGGCAGAGGCACTCTCCTCTCTTTATTTCTCCGGTTTCGCTCTCCTGAGTCGCTCTGGCTCTCCTCGATGAGACGCTACTGGAGGGGGAATTCTGGAAAGTGATGTCACTGCTGGCTTCCTGGTTCGCGGAACCCACGTCAATCACTGTGGACGCTAAAGCCACGCCCCGTGTGGGTCACATGAGCGCTGACAGCCTGATGGCCTCACTGTGTCCGTCTGAGAGGATGAACGGGATGAACCATAGACTGGGATGAACACATGCTTCCAGGTTTTGACAGTGATGGGGTGACTTAAGATATTAAATTCTTTTGAGCGATTCTTTTATTATCAACCCAGACTTCACTTTGATCTGCATCAGTATAGCACCACATTACTAGGACTCAAGAATAAGACGGCAATAAAACCCACACTTTGTTTGACGAATACCTACTTTTAGTTTGTTTTCTTTCTCTTGTTCTGCCTTTCTTTATCTATCTATTTATTTATCTATCTTCTAGAGATGTGTGGATTGGCTCTGACTAATCCGCATGTATGCTTGACTCGTCCAACCATCACCCACCCAAAAGTTTTATTTTCTCCAATTTAGAGAACCACTTCCAAAAATAAAATAGCATTGCCGTGCCAGGATTTAGCTGACTCCACCTCGCCTCAGTGGTGCACAAGGCCATGTTCGCTCTCTTTACACGGCCTTGTCCTCTGATGACTCATCCAATTGGCCTATTTCAGCCAAACCCAACCACTATTATTATTAATCATATTTCGAGAACCATTCATCTTATCAACTTTATATTTGGCGTGTATATTGTTCACAGCCCAGGGAAGGGCAGTGTTGAGTTTGGTGCAAATTGGATGCATGATATGTTGAATAATGATAAAATGTGAATGGCTACTAGCACTTTGTAGCAGTCACTGGGGGCAGGGCAGTTTGCCTTCATTCTGTGGACCAAGTTGAACTTTTTTACTTCCTCGCACAAACTGGAGCAGAGGTCAAAACTGCTGCCACGTCAATTTATTCTTTTTATTTCATCATATCAGACTCACAAAGGAGTGGCGGGTGCTACCCGCCGTCATGGGTAAATAACTTCCTCTTTAGCAAAGTTATATCAAAGTAAAAGCACAATGTTGGTTTTGTTGCTGCCATGCTTTATATCTAGCTGAATTGCCGAGATTTTATTTTGAAAAGTTGTGAACTCAGGTCGAAAGATTGCATCAAAAAAATAACACCAGTTAACGGTCCAGTGTGTAAGATTTAGTTGAAAGTGATCTATTGGCAGAAATTTAATGTAGAATAATCCTCATGATGTTTTCACTAGTTCATTTCATCTAAAGAAAAGACCATTTATATTCAAATACTTTATATTTACATCGAGGGGGTCCTCTCTATGGAGGCCGCCATGTTTTTTACATTAGTCCAGACTGGACAAACTAAACACCTTTTGAGTTTTTATGACACTTAAAGGCTACCACAGTTTCTTTTTCATGTTTGGAAGGAGAGGGTGAGGTGAGGGGTATTGGGGCCATATTGTCCAGCCCAAAAGTATTTTAAAAGTCAGCATGGTTTAAAGAACCACACCACCATCGTTTCATTCATGACAGATTTTAACAGCATAAACACACATTTCTAATAACTCAAATATGTGGTGCAGTAGAGAGAAAATATGAGGAAAAAATCATCCATGGCCAGGTGGAGAGTACTTCTTTTATTTTAAATACATCATCATTGGTTCAGCCTGCATACAGTAACGTATCAGCACATAACTACACAGTACAGAGGTGGACTGCTGCCACACCGGTTGCAGCTTGGCCAATATGTAACATCGACAGCCACAGTCAATATCTGACAGCCAGGCCAGCATATTCCTTCATTTAAACTCCATTTAAAACTATTCATTTGAGATACAAAACCGCTAGGATGCCTGTGTGTCAGTATTTTTTTTCTACAACCACACAGACGTTAGGTAGGCAGCGTGGTACTTTACTGACCCTGGCAGGAGAACAAAATACAAAAAAAAAGAAGAGCATCATTTATCATCATAGGTTACATGTTCATTAACGTTGATTCTCAGAAATAGAAAGTTGGCATCGGAAAAATACATAATTGAAGTTGTTACACAAAATAAGGTTTGGAAAGGTCACAATTTGATTGATTCCTCAACCCCCTTTTGTAAATTTCAAGCATTTCCCTTTTTTCTAAGACAAAAAAAATCCAATTGTTGTGTGTTGGATTTGTGCATCACCACAAATCCTATCTTTGCACTGTTCGACCTGTGTATGGCTTTAAATGGGGTTTAAAGACTTGGCGAGATGAGAAGGCGGTACTAACGCAAATCAGATGCAAAGCGTTCAGCGTCTACATACTAACATTTCCATCGGGGCCTCGAACATGCAGACAGGGTAAGGTAGGAACCATGATTCTGGAGAGAATACTTGGGAACACATTAGCGCTATCTACAACTGGGACTGCTTCTCCTTTTTGGCAACTACCCCTGTGGACCTCACACTTCAGTTAACAATTTAAAAGAGAAAGAAAACACAGTGGCACTATATTTTATATTTAGGGCACAATAGCTGTGTTGCACCATTAAGGCCTCCCATGACTTGACATTTCACTCAAGGTCACTGCTAAATTCAACACCAAGTCATCTCGCGAACAGAGAATCATTGCATTTGTTCTGGTTTTAAGCTGGATACTTGCTGTGTGCTTTTCATTTGCGTAAGTGCGCTTTTTTTGTTTCTGTAATATAACAACCACCAGCTCTCAGACATTATAATACCACACGCACTGACTCATTAAGGACGAATTTCGCTGCCAGTGGTTCAATGCTATTTTGTACTTCTCAGTGTAACCATGCACAACCAGCACTTCAAAAGAAAAAAGAAAAGTAAAGAGCAATCCAAAACAATTCAAGATTGAGAACATGGAGGTTGTGAGGTTATGGCCCATACTTCTCACGAGGAAGGATATGATGGAAAAAATATAATGAACTCAGTCACAGAGACAAAAGAACACAAACTGTCATAGTTTGATGAAATAAGTAACTATAGACTCAAGCCTCTTATAGAATCAAGTGCAGACTGTCCTAGCTTCTCTCCAAGTCACCCAGGTAGGAAGTCACCTGTGAAGAAAACAAGAAAGGAAACGAGGATTACACAGAAGTAAAAGCATGCTTCAGGTCAGGTGTTCCTCATTCCTCTTATCCAGAGGGTTTGATCACGCTGTTACTAAACCTCTACTTTTTAATCTACTAATTCCTGGGAGTTTGGTCCATAACTCACTTTAGACAACACTGACACAAGAAGGTACCAAAACATAATCCTTTACTGTTAGGCACCACGGACCAGTGTACATTCTGATGCATTAGTGCAGTTCATTTGTTTCAATGGCTTTCGGGAAAAAAATGGTTTCTCATTGGCTTAGGTGGTCAGAATGAGTGTATATCTCTGATCTTTTAATTCCCTATTTACCTCTGCTCAACTTGCAATCCTCAGGCAAGGGTCTGCAGTCATTTCCTGAATCTAGACTGAAAACTCTGGTGGACAGAGCGTTTGCCAACAGGACCCAAAGGAACTGGAATTAATTACCACAAATATTTGTTTCATTTCTCCATTTAAATATAAAAGAGCCTAGTCTGATTTTCACACGAACATTAAGTCCTACTACTTGTTTATGCTTGTGTTGTCAAGCAGATGTTAAGTGCCGTATGTCGATGTCGCAAAATCCTGTGAACACTCCAATAGAACGTTAAAATGTCATTGTAACCACCTTTAAAACACGTCTAAAAGCCTAAAAAATCCCAATATGAATGTATTTGATGTTGCTGATTGTGAAAATGTCAAACAAAACTATTACGTTCCTATCGAGATAACATACGACAGCACAGAAAGAGAAGCTAGAAACAGGCCCTTCATCCATCATTCCTCTACGCATCACAACTACACAGAGTCAAGAGGCCGCTTCAAGCAGAGTCAGTCACATCCAGTTACACCAGGGAGGAGTCAGCAGCACAGTTCAGAGGAAAACAGAAAATATAGGCCTCTGAATGACCAGCTCTCAAATGCTCCCTACTTGCTCATGTGTTAGCTGTTAGTTCACCCAAAATGGCTACACTTCAATACACTAGTTCACCAGCTACAGCTTTATGAGTTGTCAAAATGTCACTAAGGCTACATCCATACTACTTTGTTTCTGTTTGTGAAAATGGCTCTTTCTAAACGAAAACAATCTGTCATCATAAGCGTTTTAGATCTGTACCAGTTTTAAATCCCTAACTTCACTTGCCTGAAAACGCATAAGGTGTAACCACGTGTGAGTGCCAGTGTAAACTGGAAATTCTCAGCTGGTCTCCTACACATGTTAACAGTTGAGCCTTACGTATCAGCAAAGGCTACGTCGTGACCAAAACGACTCAATCACCAATCAAACGTGGCCAGCAGCATTTCCAAACGTATCTGTTTAAGTGGCTTTAAAATAGAAGCGTGGACACCAGATGGATCCGCAGCAGAGTTGAGGCATTTTCAAACGTAGTAGTGTGGATGTAGCCTAGGCCTCTGTCATACCCTGATTCACGCTGAAGACTTCTGCTCTGCCACTTTCTGGCCTGACCTAAGAACGGTGTGATTTGTAGCAAAAACTAAACTCCTTACACAACACAAAAAAAAAGAAAAATAGGCTGAGGATCTGTTTCATTCCAAACCCAGCAGTTCAACATCAAAGATGAGGGTGGCGTTGGGAGGGATGATGCCCGGGTGGCCTTTGTTTCCATAAGCGTAGTCAGGCGAGCAGGTCAGTTTGGCCCTTTGACCAACACTCATCTGGAGGTGGGAGGAGGCACACGATACACACACAGGGGGGAGAAAGAGAGAGAGACAACGGGTGTCAGAAAATAACATGTGAGAAATACAATAAACAGTTCATTGTGTCATGCAGACTCAATACTCAACTGTCGACAGTAACAGTGAACAATAAGTGATGTTCTAACCCATAAACAGAATATAAGTAAGGATCTCAAGCTACCATGAACAGGAGCTTCACACAGACAGGACTATTCACCAGCCACCAGGTCTGCAGGGCTGAGTGTGTAAGACACAGAGCTGTGTCCATGGCTGTATGGCCCCATGTTTACAGAGTTAATGAAAAGCTTGTTGCGTTAAAACCTGATAATGGAACCTTGTCAACAAATTAATACATTTCAGCAGATTCACAAAT